CAATATTTATATATTATATAATTGCTGTATTTGAGTTAAATACACAATGGTTTGAGTTCATTACACAATACTTACATACAAACTTGACTTAAGGACAGGCCTTGGGAACAGAACTTGTTCTTAAGCTGGGGATTATCTGTATTTCCTTTAGATAAGGAAAGAGCCTGACCATTTCCAAAATTCATCTCTTGGGGGAAATTGCAACACTGGATTAATATAGCTTTAAGTTTAGGAGAGATGACGTAGCAACATCCTGGTGGATGAGAAAATGCTTACCCAGCGAGATCACATTCTCATAGTTTTCCTGCATGATGTTGATGGCCAGGTGCTTCTGCAAATATCGCCCCACCTGAAATGACAACATCCTGCATGCTGAGCCAGGTGACAGAATGGAGAGAACACAGCTGAAGACTGGGAGCTTCAAGGTTTGGGCTGCAGGGGTCACGGGGGCAGGAATTTGCTCCTGGGTAACAGGGCCTCCAAGTATAAATGGACTTTCTCCTCCAGAGGGGAATAAGGGCAAAAATAAAGCCCTGGGGGACATTACTAGAAAGTTGGCAAACCTAGTCTTATTCTTGCAGATAGCAATCTGTAATTGGGTTCACTATACAGCATGAGACCATATTTTCCTGAATCTTCATTTACTGAATCAATTACGGTGGCTGTGTTTACACAGCACACTGAGGTGCAACTAGACAAAACACATTATGAATGTGTTCACACACCTCCCAACACATGGTTAATTGAACCATGCTTTACTGAACTAATCCTGTTGCCTAGGTTCACACAACACACTGAACCATAAAGCAGCTGGCCACATTTTAGCTTTGTATGTGGGCCCAATCCAGCCTATGGCTTAGTATGTCATGTAAATTCAGCTGTACATGCCATGCAACGTGCTCGGCCTTTCTTCTTTCCTTCCCACCTCCCATGCTCATCACATACTCCCTTGACCTACCAGGGAAAGCAAAAAACCTCCCCATCTAACAGTCTTCCCACCCCTCAGATTTAAACTCACTGATGTCACTTATAACAAATCAGAGCTGTATCAAATTATCCATCTGCACCATACCCTTGTTTTTTGCACTTAGAACAGCCTTTTGCAACCTAGCCAGCCTATAGATGTATTGGGGCTGCAGGTTCTTGAATTCCCAGCCAGTATTCTGGAATTCTGGAATGGCACGGAGGCTGGACATTCTGGAAGACGTAGCTCCAACACGCCTATAAAACTGGGGAAGGTTCACTTAGCACCATGTTTCTCAACCTTGGCAACTTGAAGATTCCCCATGGCTGGCTGGGGAATTCTGGGAGCTGAAGTCCACACATTTTCAAGCTTCCATGGTTGAGAAACACTGACTTAGCATCTCTATTTGGTCTGTACAGAGTTTATGGCAATGTCCTTCACTCTCATGGCTTTAACTTCTGATATTGCCCCTCAAAAAAAGTGTAAAAGCAGCTTTATGCAGGATTTTCTTCATTTTTCTAGCTGTATGCATAAACTTGGTGGAAAAAAAGAAAATACAGCTCCATCTTGCCATTCTATAATAGAGAGAGAGAGAGAGAAAGAGGGAAGGGAAGGGAAGGGAAGGGAAGGGAAGGAAAGGAAAGGAAAGGAAAGGAAA